TGTATGAAGCTAGACATCAGAACATCTCTGATGTAGGCTCAGAGTACCAGCTTATCTTATGAGGCCCTGTCTTGCTCAGGGAATAGCAGCAGAAGAAGGGGAGTCAGGCCTGGGCCCACCAGCTCTGGCCCCAGTCCTTTTCAACCCTCAGTGCTTCTGCTGCCCGTTGGTGTCTTGCTCTCAGTGAGATTTTTCTGGGGGTGGGGGTGGGTTGGGTTGGGGCAAATATTAGGCCACTTGCCAGGGAAGTGAAATTGAGCTTCAATGAGGCAGTACAGCCTCCAGAGCCATGACAATCCTTATTCAGAAAGGCCATGGTCTTGCAAGGATGGATACCCCAGGGCTGGAGGCTGAGGGGTAAGCTTTCCCCCTCTTCTCACTTGCAAATACATGTGTCCTGCTCTCCAGCCTGAGATGCTTGGGCTCCCCTTTTCCCTTGGAGGCCACCCACATGCTAGCTGGTCCTGTGGGTCAGGCCTCTTTCATTCTTTTGTACTTCACCCACTCCCATGTGCCACATTCAGAGAAGGCTTCTCTTCAAGAGGACCTCTTTCACCTCTCTGTGTAAAGAACTACCCAGCTATTCAGTCACATCACCTTACTTTATTGTCTAAAATGGACTTACTGCCATTTGGCAGTATCTTTGTTTTATTTGCTGACTGATAAGCATTCTTTTACAGTTTAAGCTCTAGGAGAGCAAAGACTATGCTTTGATCATTGTGATGGTCGCAATGTCTGGACCAGTGCTGCCATGGTGGATGGGCTTAAATAGGCACTGGAGAGCCCTGGAGGAATTCCCCTCATGTCATCATAAATGTTCTCTTCCTCTCAGCTCATTTGGTTTCCTACCTGCCCTTACCTCTGCCCTGGGTCCTTTGCAGTCAGTTTGTAGCTTACAAATCGTACCCCCCTGTAGATCTAAGTCACCTGTTGTGTCTTCTCTCTCCCACCTCTGGGCAACTTTGGACCCACTGCTCCCACTTCATGGTCCAAGAAACCAGTTATCCCCATTAACTCCATTCTTTACTTGCCCGACCCCATGAGTGCAATCATCACTGCCCCAGGGAGTGTGAAGGTCAGTGGTAAAAACAAAACACTACAGAGCAGGGCTGATCTTAGGGCAATCACAATATCTCTCCTGTGACTCATCCATTTATTTTGCTGATATCGGAATATGACAATGTTGGGGGAAAGCACATTATTTATCCCATACTGGGAAAGTGGCATTATAACATTAAAAAAAAATTCTTAAAACTTTTCCACTTAGAGCTTTTTGTGGAATAAAATGCTTTGCCAAATGCCCACCCTGTCCTTACTGGTCTTGGCTAGCTGGCATCTCTCATCAGCTTCCCCTAACTCTGGCACTGTCTAGCACTGCCTAGGCCATTAGACAATAGAGAAAAGTGCTGCAGTCTCCTGGCTGTCTGAGTGTGGCATATCACTGTGGGGGAGTTTGGGAGATGCTTTTCTGGCTATCAAGAGGCTGTTGGAGGGTCTATCTCAGGTTTCTCTTAGTCTAGATGTCCACTGTGGAGCATTAGGAAGAACGTTGGCTTGGGTAGACACTGGGTCTGTCCCGGCCTTGCGATGACTTGCTGGATTAGCCTTGGTCTCTGTTCTAGACCCTTTATTTCTGATTCTCATTTTACTACCCACCACCTAACCTTAGATTCCTCTAGCTCTTTTGTCTGGTGTTGTCAATGCTTGAGGGCTTTGTTTACAATAAAAGCTTCTACTCCCAGCAAAGGCTCTGAGTGACTACTCAGCCTGAGGGCTCATTCTGGTGTCATTGCAGAGCGGGCAAGGTTAGCTCAATCCTGGCCACTCTGGGTTCCTGAGGGATGCTTTTCTCTTCCTCTAGCCCTGGGAGAGCTCCCTTCCTCTCTTGTCCCTCTCTGTCATCTTTCTGAAGTGTCTGTCTCAGTTTCCTTTGTATGAGATTGAAAAGGCAAATCCATCTTCTACAAAAAGGCTTTTGGCATTTTAGTGATAGCAATAACAACAGTAATAACAACAGCATCTTACATGTATGTTTTGTTTACACTGTACAAAGAACTTTGAAATACATCATCTCATCAGCCATTTAAAGGTTACTTGGTTGAATCAAAAAGGGAGGCTGTACTCTCCTTTCCCTGAATCCGGCTCAGGGAGAAGCAGAGCTGGGAGCTCCTCTCCTGCACAGGTGCACGTCCCCACAAGAAGCACTGAGCCATACTTTTAGGGACACAAATTAGCTGCATTCTGGGGAGGATTTTAAAAAAATTAACCTTGTATTTGGCACTTTTTAAAATCAGGGCTTCCAAAATTGAGGAGAAGGCTCAAAAATCACCCTAGGCCACACCGAGAGAATCTTTTCTGTCTTGGCTGACTGTGTCTGGATTCAGAGTTGGACCCTAAGGGACGACTGGCAGGAGGAAGCCTTGGGCACTCCTGGACAGAGGGAAAGCCAGCAGCCAGGCAAGTCCCCTGAGGGAATCGGTGACCCAGGATGGGGCTGTCAAGATGACAGTCTGAGTGTGGGTCAGATTCTAAGGCAGAGCTTCTGAGCAACCACAAAGGCTTTAGTGACCCTTCTGGAAATGAGTGCTGCCTAGCAACAACACACTAGCATGCAATGCTGGGAGCCCTGACAGCCTCTGTAGGGTCCTGTATGGCCTGCCATGCATGGCGCTCTCTCTCCTGCCTAATATTTTCCTCATTTCTTTCTGCTGCCTACACTGTTACCCTAGTCCTGTGACTACTCCACACCTTTCCATGTTTCACTGTTTTTTATTAAACCATTCTCTGAAAAGTTCTACTCCCTCCCACCCCCTGGCAAACTCCTATTATACTTGAAGACCCAAGATTGGAACTTCTGTACTCTGGACAGCCACTTGTCTGTGTACCCTGCTTTTCAGGAACTTGTTCCATTAAAACTGTTCCAGTTTCCCTGATTTATTTATTTTTTTTTTGCCCCAGACTATAGGAACCTTAATAGCAAACATGTTTCTTTCCCATGAAAAATTTCTCGAGACAGCCATTCTGATCCTACAGTTCATTAGGCTTCTGCTCTCTTACAAGTTCCTTAACTTCCCATGCCTCAATTTACTTGACTCTAAAAGGGGCTAGTAATGTTTTGACTATACAGTTGTTCTGAGAATTAAATGAATATATATTCAAATATATATATCTAATTTGTATATAAATTAGAATGTATCTGATACATATTTACTAAGCAAATCTAGATAGTAATATTTAAAACAAATCCATCATAAGGTACAGTAAGTACCTGGAACATAGTGTATATTAACATATATTTTAAAATTCTTCCATCTTACCCTTCTGTCCTTCCCTCTCTTCTAGACTTCATTTTCCTTCCTCTTCCCCTTCCTCTTGTCATCCTTCCTCCTTCCTACCCTTTTTATTTGCCACTTGCCTTGTGCTCTTCCATCACCCCTTCTTTTCTGTCTCCCTTCTTTTGTGCCTTTGGTCCACCACTGGTCCTCCCTGAACTACCAGGCCCCCTGGGGACCCTCGGAACTGGAACCCCACTCTTTCCTCCTCCTGCAGGGGAAACAGCTGAGCTGCCATGGAGACTTCAGTCACTCTGGAAACCAGCACTGTCCAGCCATGAGAAACAAACACCTGGCCAGGAGATGGGTTCTACGAGACATGGAGTTGTGAGCAGCTGAGGACCTGGGCCACTCCCCAGCCTGGTAAGGCTAGGAGGCGGGAGGAGAAAGGCATAGCCCCTTAAGGAAGGCTTGTAGCCTTGGAGTGGACTCTTGCCAGGCTGATTGCCTTTGCCCTGATACCTAAACCCCCTCCATGTAGAAAGTTTCTGGTTACTAAGGAGCAGAAGGGATGAACAAGGCAGAAAGCAAGCAGGAAAAAAAAGTATTTTTTCTGGTAAGACTTTCCTGATAAACTTAAAATGCCTAGGCGCTAGGCCTGGCTCTTCTACTTTTAGAAGTGGTACATTGCAGAGCCTGAGAAGTAGTGCTGGCTTACCTCTGTGGGGAAGGGTTAAATGGATAAAGTAAGGTGCCTTGTGACTGCTTTGCAAAGTGTTGCGGGAAGGCATGGGGTCATCACACATCATGGTGGCCAGGATCAGGTGGCAAAGGCCTGTGTCTTATAGCAAAGCCTCTAAGAACATCATAGAATTGGAGGAAGGCATGGTCCCTGGCCTTCCTCACCCAGCAATGTGGCCCCCTGCTCCTCTGCTATCACACTCGAGTGTGAAGTTGGCTGTCAGGCTGAGAGTGGTTCAGAACCTTCAGAAGACGGGCAGGGCTCCTTCCTCCTCGCCTCATCCGAGCACCACCTTCCCAGAGAGGGCAGGACAAGAGCTATGTGCTAAAACTCAACAAAACCGGCTCAGGAGGTGCCTGTGGCAGAGTTCAGATAAGCCTGGAACACAGACCAGGTCCAGCCAGGAGGGAGTGGAGGGTGTGTGGGAGGGTCAGCTGGTCCCAGCACTCATGGTTGCAGAGAGCCTGTGGCGGCCAGTCAGTATCGCCACTTGGAAGATCCAGGCGTCTGTCGGCATTCTGAAAAGCTGGGTGCTTTTAGGGAAGAACAAAAACATCTTTTCCTTTTCTCTCTTCCTCTTATTTCTTTTCCTGAGCTTAGAAAGTAGGTCTTGGTTTCTGCTCACATGAATGTTTCATAAACATAAAAATGTCCTCTTCTTCCTCAGACAGGCTAGCACTTCTTTATTCTTTTCCTTTTGTTTTAAAACATTTTTATTCGTCTTTTTTCCTTAAAGCTTTTGATAGCTGTTTATAAAAACATGACAAATACACAACACAAAACTCGGTAAAAATAACTCACTATATGATACATGTACTCAGACGATGTGATATATTTATATAAGAAAAGATGAAAATAGTCACTTTCCATAATAAAAATAAGTTCTATTTTTTGTTTGTTTATTTTACAATATACTTAATATTCTCTTCTTCTGTTTTCTCTGCAGCTTCCAGGTCACTCCAAATCTCGAGGCGGGCCCCACCAAGCCGGAGTCTGGGGGCTCAGGAGCACAGGCGGCAGCCACACTCTAAGTGTCTCTCCACCTCTTCGACGAACGATGAGCCATCTGTGCACTGGAAGACGTATTTCCGCCTCTTGCTGCGTGTGGGCTGGCAGCACTGGGCCCCGCAGCCCCCACTGCATTCCATGATGGGCACCTTGGAGGCTGTGGCACACGATGCATAGCCTTTCTGGCGGTGAATCACCTCTCGGACCACCTCCCCCAGGCAGGGGTTCTCTGTGGAGGGCAGAAGAGGTAAGGTCAGGGAGATGGCAGCCTGGCTGGAGGGGAGAGGGAAGGCTGTTCTGTAACCCTTGTGTGCTGAAGACCACACGCACTAGCTCCGTCTCTCATCACCCACCACACCAAGCAAGCCTTAGGGAAATAATGGTGACTAAAGCAAATGTGCTCCCTTCCTTCAAGGAATTTAAGACCAAAGTAGATGTCAGACTGGTCGACTGAAGGCTAAATCCTGTCTATAAATTTTAATTGTGCCACATATGTTTAAGAACAAAATTAAATCCAAATACCACCATTCCAGGAGATAGATGTCACTCAACAATGATGATCTCTGACTTAAGGGATCTGGCTCAGTGGAGCTGGTGTACCTGCTATCCACCATCTCAGCAGCCTGTCTTCCTTAGTGTAGAATTTGGACACACTAGTTATATAATCTTTTAAATGAGTACATTTGCATTGATAAACGGAGGTGTATGCTACAAGAGCACAGAGCAAAAACAACTGATCTAGGGCATGGATTGTAGCTCTGGGAAGTGATGTTGAGACAGAAGAGAGCCCCTAGGTCTGTTTGAATCCTCTGGATACTGATGTACCTCTTTATCTCCACCCCCTTGTTCCAGACAGGGTCCCAATGTAGTAAGATACTGAGGCCCAGGATGCTCAGCCACACAGCCTGTACAAGGCACATCATTTCTGAGCCTCAGTTTCTTTCTTGAGAAGAGAAAAGGGGGAGGGGTGCAGGAAGAAAGAGAAGTGAAGGGGAAAGTGGAGGGATGGGAATATGAAAGGGATTTCTGTAACATGGGTTAGAAGTCAAACAGTTTAAGTATCAATAAATAAAAGGAAAATGGGCCATTAAAAATATATATAATATGGCAGAGGGAGCAAAATACAGAGTTTTAGAGTCAAATTTAAGTTGCATTCAATGTAAAAATTGACAAAATATACATAGGGCTTTGTACACAATGTACCTCATAGAAACCTACAGGAAAGACACAAAAGTACATGAAAAGAACTCTAAACGTAACACTAAAGAGAATTATCAAACTACAGGTATGTGAGAAGAAACCAAAGTAGAATTATAAGACTAGCCAAAACACAAAAAAATGGCAGTAGTACATGCCTATCAGTAAGCATGTTAAATGTAAATGGACTAAATTATGCAATAAACAAATCAAATGACTGAATGGAATTTAAAGTCTTATTTACATACTTCCAATAATGTTAATTGTATATGTTAATTGTAATATTGGAAGATCTAAAGGGAGAAATTGACAATAGGGGCAGGGAACTTTAATACCTCACTTTCACAAATTTATCCAGCTAGAAAAGCAACCATAAAACATAGGCCCAAGATGACATATTATGCCCAATGGACTTAGTAGACACTCACAGAATTTACCCTCTAAAAACAAATGACAATTACATAAAACTAGAAACATTGTGAAGTTTAAAAAATGCTACAGTCTAAAGAAGAAATAAAAATTACCTTGAAATAACTGAGAACAGAAATAAGACACCAACACCTATGGAATGCAGCAAAGAGGGTCCTCCATAACAAGATGGGCTTTAAGAACAAAGAAAAGTCTTCAAAATGTTTAAGTTTTCCTAGTTTCTTTAGATGTAAAAGAACAAAACCCAGAGTTAGTAGCTGTGTAGCAGTATAATCTAAAAGAGTGAGGCTCCATGTACCCTGCCCTACCTCGTGAAGGAGGGAGCTGAACAGGTAGGGGAGAAAAGGGCTTGAGAGAGAAGCTTTGGAGTAGACATGTGAAGAAGTAGCGCTTGCTTGATTTGAGGAACTTGGAAGAGACTTGGGTGAGAGGCTCCTAGGGAGGCTGACAATGGCCTTTATTTGACTTGTAATGTGACTCTGTCCCATTCCTTCCAGACTTGACTGCCCCTCTCATATGGTTCACCACTGGAAGGTGCCTTAGACTTGTGGCAAGCTTTTGGACTTTAGCAGTCCTGCTGTTGGCCAGGCATCTAGCTACCATTTCTTATGGAAAAAGAACAAATATTAACATTTGCATGGAGCTACAAAAGACCCTGAAGAACCAAGGCAATTTTGAAAATGAAAAAGAAACCTGGAGGTATGACGTTTCCTAATGTCAAAGTATATTATAAAGCCATGTATATTATAAAACCAAATGTATGATATTGGCAAGAAAACAGACACATAGAACAAGGAGTCTAGAAATAAACCCCAGTAATAGTATAGATCAATCAGTGAATTTACAGCAAAGAAACCAACATAAATGATAGGGAAAGCTCACAGTTGCTTCAATAAATGGCTTTGGAAAAACTGGACAGTCACATGCCCTGAAAAAAAGGAAACTAGATCACTAACTTATACAATATACAAATCTCAACTTAATGTGGGATTAAAGATTTGAATGTGTGAAAGAAACCTAAAAATCTATCAATAAGTTTTGAGCAAAGAAAGAAGCCCAGTCAGCCATCCACAAGTATTGTTGACTAAAAAGCCATTTCCTTACGATAAAATAGCTCTTAAATTCTTGTCTTCCTTATATGCATATTGCCTACCAGAGGTAAGATTTAAGATCTGCATGTTGCCAGAACATATTTTTGGTCACATTGTGCATATTTAAATATAAACCTCCTTTTCTGGGCTCGCCCCCTCCCCACCACCTCAGTACTATAAACCAAACCCGAGCTGGCTTGGACTCCTTTCCCACTAGTCTCTTCTTCCAGGTTAACCTAGAATAAATCTGAGAGTACGTGTTTTTCCCTGTACACAGTGGTGATTATTAGTCTGTAAGTTTAGACCTAAACCCATAAAACTAGAAAAAGATACAGGCAGTTAAGTTCCCTGATCTGAGGAGCTCTTTTCTCCTTCTAGGACAAGGACAAGAAAGGCACCTGTCAGCAGTGACACCACCCAAATGTAACGGATTGCAGATTCTGATATAGAACTACAGGAGAAAGTTTGTTCACAGAAAATATTGCCAGCAACTTGAAATATGCATCTCTTACCCCAAGGTCCGTGACTCGCTGGTGGGCAGAGCAGCTAACTGGTAAGGGAGTCGCAGACAGCGTGGCGGCCCTGCAAGCTGGCCCAGCACCTTGGCACTGTTGAGCCAGCGGCGCCCCCCACTCCTCTTCCTTGTGGGGAGTGCAGAGAGGTAAGGGGCACAACAACGACTCCTGCCCTCCTGGAGCTGAGGCCCTCAGGCCAGGATCAACAAGGAGCTGGGTCCCAGTAGTTCTGAGTGAATTAACCTTCCCATTCCACCACACTGATAGTCTTTGGAATGCAGTGTTCTTTCCTTCCCGCAAGCAACTCCCAAGTTAAACAAAGATAAAGACACAGCACCCCAGCTGGAAAAAGCAAATAAGGTAAGCACATCTGCCTAGGAGACAAGAAGCATCTGAACACAAAATGGAAAAGAGGAGCAGCCTAGAAAGCTACATAAAAACAAAGCATTTGAGGACCTAATAGAATAAAACTTTACAAACTAGAAATGGAGGATTTTTTTTTTGAGTAAGGTATGATAGTACTGAACGCAGTACTTAGTGTTTAGCAGCTGCTTGATACAACACAAATTTCTTGTGCATTAAAAAAGGATAAGACCACAAGAAGCCACATATTATTCCCATAACTAGAGAAAAAGAACTATCAAAACAAAAATAAAGGAAGGAAAAAAGAACAAAAAAATAAGTGAAACTACATACTAGAGTTACTGTGCAGTGAAGGAAAACTATGAACTAAACAAAAAGGCAGTCTCCTGCACAGCTGCTAAGTGGTAGAAGTGGAAAGTATACAAAGAACTCATACTACTCAATAACAAAAAAGAATCAATCTGATTAGGAAGTGGACATTTTCTCAAAGATACAGATTAGAGGTGTTGGCAAAAAGGCACAGAAAGGGGAACCTTTGTGCACTACTATAGCAGTATTTATAATAGTTGTGCATGAAAAGTATCCATTGATAAATTAATGGATAAAGATGTGACTGCTCAGTGGCTCTTATATAGAGCCCAGGTATGTAAGTACACACAATGGAATACTATATTAAGCCATAAAAAATATAACAAAAATTTTGCTATTTGCAATAACATGAATGGCTCTTGAGGGTATTATGCTAAGTACGGTAAGTCAGAGAGAGAAATACATATTATCTCACTCAGTCCTCATAATAAACCTGCCCTAGGTCATGTGGTTTGTAGTGATGGTGCATGCCTGCCTTCATCATGAAAATAACGCCGCTTCTACCTTTTGAGAATGTTAACCTGGGCTGTTATGAAAGTACATAATGTTGTTCAGCTACCACTCATAGTGCTATGCTAAGTGCTGATTACTCTAAGTCTCACTCCCAGCAGCCCTCTGAGGAAGTCTGGTGGCCAGCTGGCTAAGACTCCTGTCTTCTAGTTTCCCCTCTCACTGATCCCTCCTCGGTGTCATCCTGAAGAACTAACAGACTCCTAGCTTCCTCCTTGCTTTATCTTGTGGTTTTCACTCCTGGGGGAGCCAGCTGTTGTGTCATGGAGCTATCTGGGGAGAGTCAGGCACTGAGGCTTCCTGCTAGTCATCAGCACCACACACCTCCCCTAGGTGGTGGCAGACCCTGTGGCCTCCAGATCCTTGCAGTCCTGCCTCTGCCAAATGCGACCTCCAACTAAGCTTCATCTGAGTCCTGTCCTAGAACTGTGTATGCTTAGTATGAGGCTGGGACAGCAGTGCCGGGGCTGCTTGTGATACAGCAATAGATAAACAAAGGTAGTATTGCCCCATTTTTGAGACGAGGGAATGGAGGCTTAGAAATCACTTACCTGGGCTCTCCTGCTGGTGCAGTGGGCTAAAGTGTGGGACTGTCTGCAGCCATTGCAGCTGGAGTTTGATTCTTGGCCAGCAGCGTGTGTGTGACCGACCTCTCCTGGTAGAGCCTCTCACTCCCCCCCCCACCTCTGGCCTGTACCCCATTTCTTGTTTGCATAAATAAATAAATCTTTAAAAAAAAGACGACTTACCCAAGGTCTTACAACCTCTTTGGGAATCAATCAGAATGGGAACTTCTGGATCGGAAGCCCAACTTCTCTAACTCTGCATCGTGCCCAGGTTCCCCCTTGTGGATGCACAGCAGACCTACCTTGTTCGCAGTGCTCCCCACTAAAGCCAGGCTGGCACAGGCAGTGGGGCTCCCCTCGATCTGAGATGTGGCATTGCCCATGGTGGCACTTGAAGGCCGAGCAGGGGTCGGCGGAGTCATTCTTGAGGTCGCACAAGGCCCCGCTGTAGCCCTCAGCGCACTTGCACACGTATGAGGTCCCAGCAGCCACGCATTTGCCCTGGCTACAGCTGCGGGGAGAGGAGAGGATGAGAAGGGGCCAGGGTGGTCTGTGCTATCTGAGGCTCCCTCTCCACCCCAGCCAGGGGAGCAGGTGTAGGGTGTGGGTGGTGAGAGCCAAGCAGTGAATGCTCAAATGCTCTGTTCCAGTGTCAACCAGCTGGAAGCTCCAGAGTGTCACCTGTGTCCACTGCCAGCTGTGACCCTGATAGAGGCTGCCTTGCTCTTTTACACACACATCTGAGTGGCAGGTCACTGCCTGGAAGAAGCTAAACACTGCAGACATTTTAATTGCTCTCCCGCCTTAACTGCCATTACTACCTGCCCACCAGCTGCTACTATGTGCCTGGCAGCAGGGAAGCATTTTGCACCTCCTCTCAGTCTTATTTTCTCCAGCTTCCTCTCATCCGCCGCTCTTATGAAGTAGCTGGTCTGGTCCACACTGAGGTGGAAGAACCGATCGTAGGCCTGTGTGCACAGTCACCTCGCGGCATCGTCTCCATGGGGCTAGAATTCCTTCTACCCAGATCAGCGCAGTCACACACACTCGGGGGCTGCCTGGAAACTCAAAGCCTTGATGGTTGTCCCAGGTGCAAAACATCATTTCCCAGCTCGTTAAACCAGCCATCTTACAGGCTCTGGTGTTATGTTTGGCTGAGTCAGATTTTTTTTTTACTCCGAGAACACTGGATCTCTCGTGCTCAGCACAGGGCTGGCACATAGCAGAACCTCAGTAAATGTGTGTGGACTGCGAGCGAGTAAGCCATGACATGGGATTGGTCTGGGCACGGTGACATGCCTGGCACCTTGCCCAGGGAGCCGAATCCCACCCACCACTTGCCAAGCCAAACGCCTATGGGTTGCATCTGCCCAAAAAGCAGCTCTGCATTCAGAGGCCACGTAGGGGTGTGTGGCAGCTCCAGACAGATTCTAAAGGAGACTTTCAGCCAGACTCTAGCACTGACCCGAGTGGCACCTGCCGTTCAGCTGTGTAAGTGCTTCCCCTTGTGAGCAGCCACACCTCTGGCAGTCCTAGTGCCAGTCCCTCCCCAGTCTCTCCAGCTTTTGTCAGTACCAGTGTCTTGGCTGGGGGGTGGGGTGGGGGGGAGGGGCACTGACCTGTGGCCGAGGCAGGGGTCCCGCACCTCCTGGTCACACAGCGGGCCGGTCCAGCCCGGGTGGCACTCACACACCACGCTGTCCTTCTCCACCGAGCGGCACAGACCGTGCTTGCACACAGTGCAGGACTTACAGCCCGGCGACACCCCCAGGGACTGCGGCGGGAGGGCCTTGAAGTCCTGCAGCTCGTTGTTGATGCGCACCTCGTGGATGCATCCGTGGAAGCCGCCCAGCGGCCGGTCGGCGCCCTGGCGCAAGGCCGAGAGGCCTGTGGAGGTGGGGATGCCTGCGGAGGGGTGAGGCAGGTCAGCATGAACGCCCACCTGGCCCTCCTGAGACCTGCCCTCCGGCAAGCAGGAGATGCTGTAGTGTCTGCGGTTGAGCAGTAGCTGCCCTGGGCTTCTGCTGCTCACACAGGGGCAACGGACCCACACTTACTCTAAAACTCTTGGATTTGCTGTCAGTATTTAAATCTAGAAACTGTTCCATAAAAACACATATTTCGGTCTTCTGTAGAAAAGTGACACAGCTGGCCCCTGGGGTAGTGTGGCTGCTCCACCTGGGGGAGCGGGGTGGATGGTGCGCCACATTCTGCCACTGTCCCCCCAGCTCTGCAGCTCCTTGTCATGGCTCCTAGACCCCAGGTGCAGTGCAGGGAAGCTAGAGATTGGGAGCACACAGTGGGGAAGCAGCCTCCATCAGTGGAATTTTGGGGATCTCTTTGGGGGAAGAGCTGTGCCCCTTCTGGGACTGCTCTAGGCCTGGCCTCTTGCACCAGCTGTTAACAATGCAGGTTCCTGGGCCCAGCCTGGCCCTCCAGAGGTGTCCTCCCCGCTTGGGGAGAAGCACTGGGAATCTCTGTGTTAAGCAGAATGCTGCAGTGATTATACATTTTTGCACAAGACCCTTTGAATGACTGGCCCAGGTCTGCATATGGGGCCCATACTCTGCCTCTGTGCAACATTAATCTCAAAATTTTAAGTTCTTCGCATGCATGAACTGGGCCTCACAAGTGTCTGGGAGGTGGCAGAGCAGAGGGACTGTGATCTGAAGCCCGTACATGATAGGCCTGGACCCTGCTCTCCTCTGCGCCTCTCTTTCTATCTTTGCCCCTACCAACAGCCCCTCCTGACCCACTTGTCTTCATGACTAAACCAACTATTTGCTCTTTAGGATTGGTTTGGTTGCCACCTCCTCTGAGCAGCCTTCCTTGGTTGCATTTGGCAGGGGGTGCTAATATGAGAGAGGGGAACCCCGGCCAGTGGGCCTAGATGTGAGTGTGCTCTCACAGAGGACAGTGGCTAGTAGGGGAGAACACCTTACCGCCAAGGTACAAGGGACTGTTGATGCCCACTGCTGGCTGCTTCTGGAGCTTCCCCAGACTCTTGGGGGCTCCTTTGTCCACCACGAGGTTCAGGGTCTGATTTAGCATCACCAGCTCCACACTGTGAAACTGCCCGTCATTTACTGTCTCCACACTGTATAGGAGAGAAGGGCAGAGTCAAGAAGTGTGTTCAGCTCCTTTCATGGCTAGGCACTGGGGCGTGAACCTGAATGCACTATCTGCATTTTGTTTCACTGATATTTGGAAATAACTTCAACCTGGCAATAAAAACGGTACAGAAAAATCACTATTCTAATTACAGATTCTCTTATTAGTCACATGTGTAAAAGGCAGAGAATAACCTGACAGAATTGCTGAGATGATCAAGTGCAAGGAAATACATGAAATGTTTCCTAGATTAAATTACTGGGAAAAGGTGAGCAATTATTATGCATTACCAAGAATATTAACAAGTACATACCATTGCCTGCAAACCTAGTGACCCTTGCTCTAGTGCTGATCTCTGTGTGGAAGTGATGACAGAGGGGGACATGCAGGAGCCCAGGGCCCTCCCATATCCATGCAGTATTTTCTCTTCTCAGATCCACCCATCCATGCACCTCCTCATTATCCTTCTATCCATCTGTCTAATGGTCTGTCAAGCTACCCATATTTCATTCACCTACTCACCCATCTTGTATCCGTCCATTCAGCCATCTATCTCCCTCCCCATCTATTGACCCATCTACCCACTTCCCACTCACCTAACCATACACGCATTCATTTCTATCCATGTACCCATCGTGCATTGTCCAATCCATCCACCACCCACCTCACCTCCCACTCAACAATCCACTTACCTGTCCACTCATCTCTATCCATGCATGCATCCATCCATCTAGCCACCACTCACCTAACCAGCCCCCATTCATCTCTATCCATGCATCCATCACCCACCCGCCCACCCACCCACACAGTATTTGCTATGAGCCACAACGTCTGAGGTGCTGGGTTGCAGACTGGACAGACAGGACAACTTCAATCACAGAACTCACCATCCCTTTGCCTTTTCTTTAAAACAGATGACTAAATTATTTTTGTAAGGTCTAGTCAAGAAATAGTGTAGTTGGGGCAGATTGATGACTAACAGAATTCACTGGGGGAATCTAGTTTTATGACGGGAAGCCAAGAAACCATATGAAGGTGCAGGGGTTTCTATTTCAGTGACTTCCAATTACTTTAAATAGTGATTTGAAGACCAGACAGAGGCCTGTGAGCCTGCAGGCTAGTTGGGAATGGAACTACAAATTTGAGATCTGTAGCCTCCCAGCCTCACAGTTTTCTAAACAGACATGGAAAAATATGTGGATCTACCTCAGACCTTGCTGTACATGACATTGTTCTGAATGCAGCTGAGCTCTTGGCCCCACAGGCAGGTACCTAGACAGTGGACATACCTGTCTCAGGGTGAGCAGGAGAGGGGCTCTGGGTGAGTAATCTTGGTGTCCCTCCCAACGTTAAGCTTCAGAGAGCCTGAGGCAGCTGCATTATAGATACACACAGGCACAGCGAGCACATACAACCCCTTCCTCCTGCTGGCTTCAAGCCTTGTGTCCTTCTTCCCTTCCCCTGCCGTAGGCAGAGCTGGCTTGGAGACAGCGACCTGGCGGAAGCCACAGGGGCAGGACTGGGTGGCCACTAACTCTTGCCCTGACAACAGGTTGGCCTCCACAGTGCCCTAGCTGCTGGCGCTGGGTGATTCCCCCGTACCCTGAAAGGGGTTCCTAGCATGTCTCTTCCTCAGGTTTGCTCTTTAGCCAGAGGGATCAAGTGTCACACTTGGTCTTCCAGCTGGGGGTCCCAGGCAAGCCACATCACTTCTGTGAGTCTCTATTGTCACTTCCATGTAACAAAGATGCTAATGGGTTTGATCCCACTGACCTTTATGGGATTCCCAGACACAATGCCTAGCCAGAGCCCAGTAAAAGGTGAAAATGACAAGCTCCTTGACTCTGACCTTGGGTTTGGAAGAACAGAGCAAGGCAAGAGGGGGTGGGTGGGGGAGTCAGTCAGCAGGCCCTAGAATACTTCTGAGTTCTCAGCCTACCGCTACAGCTGTCCAGGGTTTGAACAACTTTCTGTTTCCATTTCTGAGGAGGGTGCTTTTGTGAACCCCATTTTCCAGGGAGGGAACCAGAGTGACCCCACCCAGGTCACACTCCTAGGAAGTAGTGGGACTGGGGATCAAAGTCAGGACCAACTCCAAATCCAAACCTCTACAACCTTATCTGTGCTTGCAGGTGCTCACGGGTCAGGTCACTGCCTTCCTGGCACATCATAATTAGGGTCTCTTGGGCCTAAAGCGTAAGGCCACTGGTTTTAAGTCTGGGGGGTCTCCCAGGGTTTGGAGTTCACCACAATCTCGTGAGTCATTTTTACTTTTAAAATCTAGGCCTTTGAAGTAAAATAATGAGCAAATAGGTTCTCTTTCTACAAAGGATGGGAAAAAGAGTTACCTCCATCCCCATTACCCCCCCCCCCAAACCCTGCTGTTAACTCTGAAAGAAACAATCCTATACAAGAGGCTTCCTGGAGAGAGATTCTGAGATTTCAGGGAGAGAAGGCTGGGAGTTTTCCTTGCTAGCCAGTGGGCCAGATGAACCAGCCTCACATGGGTCAGGTGGAACACATGGGCGGGGTTGGGGTGGGCTGTCCTAGTCAGGTGGCCCCTATCTGGGACTAGCATAAGGACATGGCTAAGTCAGTGGCCCTGCGTTCTCCTCTGCCCTCCCTAACAATGGCACCATGTGTCCAACACCTCATAGCTGCCGGGACTTGTGCTTGGCCTGCATTCTTTCCCTTAATACTAACAACCCGCATTTGACAGTCACAATTTTTTCCCCCTCTATGTTGAAAATAACAAGCTTAAGGCTCAGGGACTTAAGGAATCCAGTCCAAAGTCTTAAAGCAGAACTAATGGAGGCCAGAGGGAAATACAAGTTCCTAAGACACAGGACCAACAGTGATTCCTCAAGGTGCTGGGCATGCTCACCTGGCTGCCCAGTTGTGACCGCTAGGTGGCGGTAGAGCCTCACAGGAACAAAGGGTCTCCAGGATTGTCCTTAGGCAGCAGCCTGAGATCCCTCTATTATAACCCTTATACCCAACTCCTGCACCTCTGCACCATCGGACCCTTCTAGATAAGGCACTCACACTTACTCACTTAGACTGTCCCTCCCTCCCCCAAGCCCCTCTCCACCCCAACTTTCCAGGTTGGGAGCCAGCACAGGAGAGAGAGGATTGGATGCCAGATCTGCCATTTAATATGTGCCTTTGGGTCAAGGACTTCAACTGGGAGTCTGGTTTCTCATCCCCAAAATAGGAGTGAAGATGCTTGCCTGAGGCTTGTGGTCAGGATCAAATGAGACAAAGTCCTTGGCAAGGATGGGGCTGTGGTTATTAAGAGTCAAGTGGAATGAGCTTTGGGATGAACAGAGCTATCAACATGGGTTCTAAAGTGGCTTGCATTTAAACACTGAAGTATTTCACAGAAATGCCAACTTTCTAGCTCTCTTGAGAATCTGCATTCCCTTAGGGCAGGAACTGCCTGAGCTGAGGTCCAGTGTCCCTCTGGATGAAGCCTGTACCCTCAGGTACCACAGTCCCCATTGCTCCCTACTGGAACTCTGTCTACTTTCCCCAGGTCTGTTACTTTCCTTGGTCCCTTGGCCTTGAAGGCAGCTGGTGTGCCCTGGCATCGGTCTCAGTCATGAGGAGTACCACATCCGTCGCCCTGACGGGCAGGCAGGGGCTCAGGTGGGACTTTGTCATGGGTCTGGAATGGGACATCATTAGCACCTGTGACTACAGCTGGGTAGATGAACAAAATTAGGCACCCACACCTAGGAGGCCTCAGACTGTAGCCCCAGGCCTGGCTGTTTCTTTTCACTCTGGGACAGGTCAGTGTGGCCTCAGCAGGTGGAAGTATACAGGTTGCTAACCCTGATTAGACAGCTTTGGTCTAGTCAGCTGTTCCTGACCTCAAGGCTGAGGAGGCTTTCCTGGTTGACTAGAGGTCACTGTGGTGACTGAGGAGGACAGCTCACTTCAGGCTGGGATGGTTTCCTGGCCCCTTTGGTCAGCTGCTAGTCAGCTTGGCCTGGCAGCATGGCCTCCATGCAGACCCCTGTCTGGGTCACCTCATTTCTCAACCTGTGGGAGCACTGCTCAGTCAGGGACAGCCTCAGCTTTAACACTGCCTCTCCCTCTAGGGAGCCTGTGCTGGTTTTCCAAGCAGAAACATCTGTTCCTTCTTTGGTGTCCCCCACAGCAGATACTGGGGTCTCTGGCCAAGCCATTTTATTGGGCTTATGTAACTGTTGCTTGTTTACATATCTGTCTTCCTGAATGTGGATTCCCCAGAAGTCTTGGAGCCCAAAGTTTCTTCTGCTCCAGCTAAAATGTAGAGTCAGGCAGGGGGCCTCTCACCAGGACAAAAGTCTTGGTATGAGGTTATCTGCTGAAAACAGCAGGCAGACATCATGACCAGATTAGCATAACCAGCTAGACCAGGTGGAAACCTGGAAACTGGGACTAGAGACAGGATGTTTGATCAGCAGCCCCCTGGAGGACCCCCAGGCAGGCAACAGCCTCTGCTCACTCTCCCCTACTTTGCGCATCCCCAATCTCCACCCCCACCCAGCACAGTCCTCCACAGACTCGCCCACCTTTCTTGCATCTATCTGATCCCCAAGTAAGTGTGAGACTGGCCCAGAAAACTGGTGCAGCAACCACACAGCTGTAGCCCCTCTGGGCCTCTCTCTACTTGGCCTCTGAGCTGCCTTTCCTCAGTCCATGCCTCACCCAGCCCAATGTTGCTGCCTGGGAGGCAACACCTGACCTGCATCTTAACCCTGCGACTCCTACTCCTTGCCCAGGATGGGGAACCCCTGCACTCCTGCCCCAGGGTGCCTGAGTGGGCAAAACCAAACCAAACAAAAACACACAGTTGTGGCAAAACCAGAGAGCAGCCTCAGCTGTAGGATTATGAGCTGAAGGTCTGTCATCACTCTGGGAGGGCGGCTACAGGGCAGGCATCTGACCCTGGGGTCCTCCCCCACTAGGTGGGACAGAGGAGCTGGGCCTGCCCACGCCAGCTGCTCACCCCCAACTTTCTGATAAGGGCTGAAAGAGACGGCAGTTCTCTGGGTTCCTGTTGCACCCCTTGTACCCCGAATTTAGGCAACAGCATGAATTTAGTCCAAGAATGCTGTGGACAACATCACCCCTTTATCAGCCTGCTTCCAACAGCTAAACCAGTGTGGGGAGTGGCAGACTCCACCCAGAGGGAAGCCTGTGCTCTGGCTTCAACATGCCCACATCAAGGGTCAATTTTCTCCAGCTCCTACATTCCACCACACCCTGAGGTATATCCTGCTGTTATTCACAGTACATGGGAAAGTAAACTGAGGCAGGAGATGGAGTCACTTGCTCAAAGCCAGATGCATCTGTCCCCACAGGCTTTGACAGGAGAATGCTTGTCTCCTGGCCTGGCCTTCTGCCATTCTGCCCTCTTTGCTTTGCCCACAGCCAGCAGCTCCAGGAGCACACAGCTCGGAGGCCCCTGAGCCCAGTGGGGTGATCGTCTTCTGGCGGCCATTATGCCCACTGTCCTAACCTGGCTGGGCTTCCCCCCAACCCAGCCTCCACCCTGAGCCTCTGCCCCACCTGAGTTGGAGACAGGCCTTAGGCTTGTCTTGCTACCCTCTCAGTGGTCTCCCTTCTTCAATGCCACCCATGCCCAAAGTGCCTACTCCAGGAAGCCTTCATGGGGGAACACTCCTCAGACTGATGCAGCACACTGCCTGGAGGCTTAAAGCACATGCTTGGGCCTCCCCCCAGAGCTCCTCTCCTAGGTCTGGAGAGGGCTGTGAGCATTTGCAAACAGTTCCAGGTGCTGCTGGAGCTGCAACTTCACCACCACGCTCTGAGAACCACGGGGTTAGACCACGGTGTGCCAGGCATGGCCGTCCTTAGAGCGTGCATGGGGGTCTGTGAGGCAGTTTGGCCTCCGTGGACAGTTGACCACTGAACAATGCGGGGTGACTGGCATGAGCTCAGAGACTGGAATTTTCTTTTGAGTTGTTGGCGTGAACCCGCAGCAGCGGGGATGTGAGCACAGCACCGTCAGGGGCTCTTCCTTCTGGCTTTCTTAAGGCCATTTTCCTTTTTCCAGCTTGCTTTACTGCAAGAGTACAATGCATAGTACATACAGCATGCAAAAACTGGTGTTCTTTGACAGTTTATGCTCTCAGCAAGGCTTCCTGTCAACAGTAGGCTGTTAACTTTTGGGGGGGGAGTCAAAAGTTATACTCAGATTTTCGATTGTGAGACAGAGTTAGGGTCCCTGACCTCCACATTGCTCAAGGGTCAAGTGTATTTCATATTCTTGAGTCCAATATTGAGTTTCCATTGAAGAAAGACGTAGTTACTAGGGAAAAAAATGCAAAAAGTGACTGCTTTCCACTCATTCCAGTCATTGAGGTCCGCTTTCTTGAAAGGGGAGGAAATGTGGGTCCCTTGTGAGCTCTGCATTCTCCAAAGAAAGGCTCTCCTACCTACCACAGATTTTACAGAATTTTAAGTGGAGCCTAGATAGGCATTTCTCATTTTAATAGTTACTTTTATAACCACTGTAAAAATATAACTGTAATACCTTCTTATTCTCATAGTTTAGGATTAATTTAACTGAGATGTAGCAAAGGACACAACATATTGAGTTAGCATGTGATGTCACAGATGACAGCAAACTAAACAGCTGTGACTTTGATGATAACACTTAAGCAAAGAAGGTGGGCTGCAGACTGTTGGGAGGGAGTGTGTCACGTGACACTGGGCTGACACCCCGCCCCAAACAGTGTGAACACAGGACGATGGCCAGAAGGACAGAAGTTTAGGAAAAACCTTCCTTTGGGACAGTTTGAAAGTCACTTAAGGAGCACAGTGGCTTCTCTTTGCTCTCCACTTCCTTCCCCTTGAGTTGCACGCTATTCTCCCCTGTTTTCTTTCTTAAACTAATAAAAGATTAGGATGACATTTGAAAAGGGCACCTCATTAAGCTGCCTCCTCCCCATTGGAGCTCGGGCCCCTGCACAGTAGCCAGCTGGCCATTCATCTTATGGTAATGAGCTGTCATCTCCCGCAGCCTGCCTTCCTCTCAGCCTCCTCCTCCACCACCACCTTCCTCCCTCCCACCCCGCACTCTGCTGGGGGTAAGTCTGGGGGGCTGTGGGGAGAAGGGGCAGGGTGGCCCCTAGCATTCCTGCAGGGCTGACAGCAGGCAGGAAGAGGCGGGCTGGCGCTATGGGGGCCTCACCTGTACACCGTGGTGGGTGGGGAGCTCAGGCTGTCGTAGACCAGCCTCACGTGGCCCTGGTACAGCTCCAGCGCCAGGGGGTCATTGTCTCCCTTGTAGAGGAGGATGCCGTTGTCCTTATCCGTGGCCACCTGGAGAGAGGCATGGGGGTTAGGGGACCCAGAGGCCTGACTGCTGCCTCCCTCTGCACAGAGCCTTCTCCCGGCTAGCAGCACCTGAAGGAACCTGGATCTGAATTCACGCCCACAGTTCCCCTCTACCGAGCCTGTCAATTCCCAGAAGGGAAGATACACACTTGTTCTCCTACAAATGTTGACTGAGAGATTCACTTCCACAGATATCCACTGGCCACCCTCTAAGTGCCACTAGGTGATATAATTTCATATGACATATAACCTTTCACGTAGATTGTATAACATAGCTTGCTATGTTGTAGATATTTTACTATAAATGTATAATAGATAATCTTACACATTTTATGATGTATATTTATAGATCTGTCAAGAGCCTCAAGCTCTCATCCAGCCCCTCCCACTGGTATTCAAAATGATTCCACCCAAAATACCTGTCTTTCTGGATAAAGTTTAACAGTTAACAAGATGCTAAGTGTTCCTGTTTAGTCCAGTGTTTACTACCAACCAGGCACTGTGTTAGAGTCATCTGGGGGGTTGTTAAAAGCAGTGTTTGGGCTTCACCCAAGGTGGTTACACACAGGTCCCTGGTGGGGAGCCAGGCCAGAGACAGATTCAGAAGTTCTCCAGGCAACTACTGTGTGTCACCAGGACTGAGAAGTCCTGGCTTCAGGCTCACCACCCAGAGACCAGCTACTTGTGGGCACAGGGTGCGGACTAGGTCCTCTCCCTGCCCCTCCCCAACGCACGTGCAGCCTGAAGGAGAGGGTGTGGGGCACGGGTCTGACAGTGCGTCTGGGACACAGTGTCCACAGACTCTCTGTTGGGCGGGTGAGTCTGAGGGAGCAGGTAGGGTGCACAAGGAGCACCCCGGAGGGGTGAGGGAAACTGAGCCTGCTTCCTGGGTGAGCCGAGCCAGCTTCTTGCCGGCCCCTGTCTCCAGGCTGTGGGCACTGAGGCTGCCAGAGCTGAGCGCAACCGGCAAGCCCCACCTGTGTTGGTGCGTGCATGGGGGATGTGAGGCTCAGTGGGACGCTGCTGAATGCAGGCGCCCTCCGCCCTCCGCCCTTGGCCCTCCGAGAGCTGAAACCTGGGTATCAGGGTTCTAAGCCCCAGGAGGGGAGGGTGACTCACGGACCTGCACCTCACTGTGCTTCCCAGGTCCCTTCCCCCCAGAATGACTACTGGCTCTTCTCCATCATCCCCTGTCCCCCAAACCCACCTGGCCTATCCTTTAGCTCTCCCAAGAGGGTAGTTTGGAATGAACCTGCTCAGACCTACAGCAAAGGAAACTGAAAGAAGTTAGTTGGAAGAGAACTGGGTTCATGCTAACTGGCTTTCCAGTTCCTGAAATGGCCTGCTTGCTTGTGCCTCTGGGTCTTTGCAGAGGCTAAACTGCACCTGCTCCTCACACAGCTTTTTTTTTTTTTAATTTTTATTTATTTGTGCATATAAGATGGGGTGTAGGCCATGGGGGGGCTGTGTGCGGGGGTGAGGGGATTCAGCAGAGACAGAGTGGGGAACAGAACCATAAAGATCTACTGAAACACACTGCTGAGGGGAGCAGGAGGCAAGACAGGAGAGATCTGCTGTGCCACGTGGGTCACCTCCTTGGGCCTGGATGCAACTCAGGCCGCAGTGGCTGGTAATACCTTGATAATGCTGAGACTTTAACCCCTGCACCACCAGGGAGGCCCTGCACCCCCTTCTCACCCTGCCCTCTCAGCCCCTCTACTTCTCCCCTTTCATCCACTCCTACTATCCCCCCATCTCAGCTTAGTTATCACTGACTCTGACTACTCCCACCAGCTGGCCTCCACAGCCCACTGTCATTGTCACTTTGCCTGTCATCCTGTCATCCTGCCCTGGGCAAAGGCTTTGCTAGTCTTATCTACCCTAAACCCCACTGCCCACCAGTGTTGGGCATATCATAGGGAAGTGCATATTTTCTAGAGAAATGAATAACTGAGGGCGGAAGTGGAGGCTGCCAGGCAGGGCTTGTCTACGGAGCCCCCTAGATAGAGGAAGATGGGCCCCCCCAGACTGAGCCTTGTCCCTGATGATGCTGTAGCCGGGGCAGGTTTGCTGCAATCTGGGGCAGCCCAGGTCTTGTGGGAACACCAGAGCCCGGGGGCGTGCTGAGGTCCTCCTGGCGGCTAGGTGGGTAGGACGCACCTGCAGGGAGATGTTGGCCTGGGGCCGGACCTTGGCGGACGCCAGCTCCACATAGGAGTCCTTGCCTACGAAGTTGACGGTGACAAGCTTCTCGCAGCGCGGGCCGGCGAAGCCAGGAGGGCAGCGGCAGGTGGGCTCCTGCTGCACCACGATGCACTGGGCCCCGTTCTGGCACTCATACTGGTCGCAGGGGCTGGTCTGCAGCAGGACCATGGGTGGGGGGTGCTCACAGAAGAGCCCGCTGGAAGAGGGGGGAGAGGAGAATCGGCTGTGGAGGCCAGAGAGCCTCGAGCAGAGAGGGTAGGGCAGGATGGGAACTAGGACAAGCTCTGGGCTATGGCTCCTTCCCACTGCTAGCCAGGGAAGCCCTTGTCCTTCCCCAAGCCTCAGTTTCCCCGTTGAAAACATCATGGGGGTTGGGCTGCAATACAGCTCTCTAAATTTGAGTTTCCTTAGAATCTATGGGATGAATCCATTTAACAGTACAGATTCTCATCTGTCTGTGATGAAAGGATAAAGAACATGTGGTCTGTGCAGTCCGGTGCTGCTCAGCACGGTTTGGTTGCTGGAGGAACACAGATGTGACAGGGCCCAGCAAGGCTCAGACTGCTGGGGCTGCGGCAGGCTAGACCTGCGAGGTCTGTGCGACTTCACCCTGGTGCCTGTATCACGAGGAAATCAAATGATGCATTTTCCAGGACGCATTCCAGGCATGACGACGCATACAATGGACTCTTAGCCAGTCTGACCACACCTTAGGGTGCATGAAGCCTTAGGGTTCTATGCTCCGGGAAACAGACTAGAGTGGAGGGTGTGCGGGAAGAAGGCCTGGACGGAGATCCCGCTGCGGAGGCCAGAGCGCCTCCCTGGCTGTTGCAGCTCACTGGAGCCCAGCCCACTGCCCCTCGCCCGCGGCCCTACCTGAAGCCCTGTGGACAGATGCACGTGTAGCCGTTGACTGCGTCCACACACTGCGCCCCGTGGCGGCACCTGTGGGCCACACAGTCGTCATTGTCGGTCTCGCAGAGCTTCCCGCTGTAGCCAGGGAGGCAGTCACACCTGGAACACAGACGCAGAGGACACACTCTGTGGGCTTCCCTCGTCCGGTGCCTCTCTGCTGTCTTTCACCCAACCGCTGTCCCGAGGTCCCCCTCAACCGTGAGCCCTGCTGGGCCTGGCACTGCTTCACTGGCTGCCTGCAGCTCTGGCCCCTGCACGTTCACATTTGCTACTTCCCGTGGGGGTGTCTTGTTTTCAGGAGCCAGGCTGAGCAGCGAAGAATCACAGATTTGGGCTTGGAACGCCCACCTAGATGATAATTCTCCCTAGAATTAGCATCTAGTTAGGTCGTGCCTGACACTGTGGGGAGCACCCCTCGAAGCTCCCCAATGCCCCTGTCCAGAGGAGAAAACAGGGCATGGAGGACTGGAAGAAAAACCTCAGAGCACTTAGGGCCAAAGGAGCCGACTGGGAAGGCGTTAGGAGGAAGGGATGGCCTTCCCTCCTGCCTCTGGCTCCCCTCTTCTGCAGTGGGTAGAAGTGGGCTGGAACCATGAATGCAGCCTGCTATCACTGGGACTGTGGATTCACCGCAAGGTAGGAAGCCTGGGGGTGGGCGTCCTTGGACGGGGGCACACTCTACAATCTGAGGATTTACTGGACTTGTGCTCAAACCCGAAGTCTGTTCAGATCTGACCTGCTCACCTGTACTTACCCGGCTGTTAATTTGAGGTATGTGACCTATTGTGGCACCAGTCACCCACCTCACCACACTGGCCGTAAGGACAGAGACCAGAGTGCTGTGATGGGCAGGGAGCCAGAAAAACACTGCGGACTCTGCCATCGTGCTCATCTGGACCCAGCGGCCAGTGTGTCTGTCTCCCGAATGCATTTTTAATTAAAAAAATGTTTGTTATTGAAGTAACATTGCATCAAATATTATGTAAGTGTCAGGTGTTCATTGTTGAGCCCCAACACGTGTCTATACTACATTAGGTTCACCCCTAAAGGTCCAATTCTATCTTTCATGATTCCACTGTCTTCCCATTTAGTCATCCCCTCCCCCCTTCCCTTCTGATTAGCACTAACTGGTCTTGTAGCAGCAAAGCTTATTTTTATTTTACTTAGTTCCTCTTCCTGTTCTCTCTATAATCTATAGAATTCTATAATCTAGAATTCTCTTGAATTCTATGAAGTACTTGTAGAGAAGTTCAAGCTGTAGGATCTTCCCTACGGCAACAATAGCTGCTCAATACTTACAGGGTGTAGCCAGCTTTGCAGGCCTGGAGGTCAAGGCTGGCAGGAGATGTGCCTGCAGCAGTGGGGAGGCGATGCTGACTGAGCAGCTGAGCTTTGCGCGGACCGTGTTTACATCCTTCTCCCTGCTAAAGCCCTCTCCACACCATCACTTGTCGAGCTTGAGTGAACATACATAACACCCAGGATCCCGTTAAAGCCAGGGCGGCGCCTGGGGATTAGCATTCCTAATAAGCGTCTCACTTAGCGAGTGCCTACGTGGCATTTCTTCAACTGCTGAAGAACCCATCTCTGCGTCTGTGTAACTCCCTATTGTTCACAAGCTCCAGCCTTATCTTTCTTCTAGTTAAAGTGTAAGGCTGATGCAATTTTGCTTAGTTTATGACCTATTGATTCTGGACAACGGGGTGTAACCAAGGGTTGTCCTTGGTAATTGTAACTGGGTGGTCCCTAGGAGAAGGGAAGTTCCAGGTTCCCTGCCCCACCCAGAAGGAGGGTGGAACTGAGCAGAGAAAAAGGAGAGAGAAGAAGAGAGAAGGAAGGCAGATGGAGAAGGAGACCTAAGGAAGCCACATGGAGCAGCAAACATGTGATGAAGAAACCGGGCTTGTTTCCTGACCCTGGACTGGTTAAGGCAGATGTGGGTGAGATACCTGTAGGGAGGTGACTATGGCAGTGTTTATATTGATTTTGATTTTGCTCTTTTCCTCTCAGATTTGTCTGGCCATTTCTGACCCTTTTCCATGGGTCCCGGCCAGAAGGTGCTTTAGTCTTGTGGCAGGCTTTCAGGCCTTGCTTTGGGCCAGTCCCTTTTGGGTTGACTTTTGCCCACGAGGGGATGGGTAACTTCAGGTGTTTGATTTAGAAGTTATATTCTTTGTGTCCCATATTGTATATTCACTGTATTAAAGTCACTTTTCATTAAAGCTTTATATGTTTTGTCTTGTTGCGGCGGATGGCAGACCCACTTAGAGCAGGCAGGTTTTGGGGCTTCAGGGGTGCCTCTCTCTGAATTGAGGTGCCCTATAACAGTACCAGGACACTAGGGTGTTTCAGATTTAGGAAAGGGCTCAGGCAACTTGGATCACACTTGCAGCTCTACCCTCTGTGGGAATGCGGGTGGATGTGACGTGCCTCTTTTTCCGAGCCTCAGTCCCCACATAGGGGATACATAGTCTACATCCCAAGTGTGTTGAGTGAGATACTGCCTAGTTCTGAGTAAAGCAGTGGATGCTAGTCATGGCGATTTTTGTTTTTGTATTATTTTCAGTATTTCCGTGCACTGATGCTTCCGTGTCGCACCGCAAGGGAGTGGCACAGCACCACCTCTGCAGTGCTGCCCTGTTGGGGGGAGACGGTGTTAGGGCCACACACAAGGAGCCTGCAAGGAGCGAGACTGCACTGATTCACTTTGCTTTTGTGAAGTCCCTGTGGCCTGTCTGGGGGTGTGAATTGTTGTGGAGAGGGGTGGGGAGAAGGGTAGTTTCCACAGCATTGCACTGGCGGGGGTGGGATTTAAAGTGCATATTTGATTGAAATGCATTTTAATTACAAAAACTCCTCATCTTGGAGCTGGCCTGCAGATCTCTTCAAGACTCCAGGATAGACTGGTTTCTTTCTAATTTGTCCTAGAATTCATGGGACCTTGGTTACAGGAGAGTGAGGTTTCCAGGGGTGAAGCGTCTCCATCTCTGGCTGTTTATGTCTTCAGCTTCAACCCTCTGGCATCCAGGCCAGACCTGCGTCCCGGGCCGCTCCGTCCCGCCTTCATGCTCTCTGTTCTCCTTGAGAGTGCTGTCCATTCATCGCGGAGTGCGCTGGGCGCCACTGGAGGATATTCTACCCACCTTCAGGCTCAAATTCCTAGTCATAAAACCTGCCTAGTTCTCATCTTAATATATTTATATACATCTCAATATATTTATATACATCTCCTGGAGTCTCGAAGAGGTCTGCAGTGTGATTTACATCTGTCTTTCCTCCCTTTTGCTTTTCATTAAGTTCTTCAGTGAAAGAGCAGCCCTGAACTGAAGTCAAGTCGTGGGGTGGGAAAAGCCAGAGGTGGTGGGGAGGGGGTTTGGAGGCTTCCCTCACCCTCACACTGTGAATTCCACAGCCTGACACCTGGTGTCCCTCTGAGGCTGTGAGGCAGATGTTCTTAGCCAAACCAGAGGCACTCACATCCTGCACTTCCTCTGGTAGTGAGCTCTAGTTTTGGGGTGTCAAAACAAAAAGGAAAACAAAAGACAAGACAGGCTCATGCCTCAGCCCCCACATTTTTTTAGGTGCCCCTCCACCTGTGGGGTCACCTTCTTTCTTCTGTTATCCCATCCAAATTCCATCCACCTACAGGCACTAGCCTCATTTCCCACCTCCTAAATGTGGGCAGGCTTCTCTCTCTAGTCTAAAAGCTTCTTTTTGCTCTCTTCATCATCCTAGAAGTCATTAGGGAGGGACAGATGAAGAAACCCAGAAGTTCCTTTTTTTCTAAATGCATGCTTAATATTACTTTTTCCTTCCCTGGGTAAGAGGCCTCAGAGGGAGGAATCAAAACCTCTTGCAGTTGCTTCTACACTCAACACTATGGGGAATCTGAGAAAGATGGGTGAATCCACAGTTTTTAGATTCTTGGATCTAAGAATTGGGAAGGTGACTAAACAGCCTTTGGAAACAGTGTTCTCAGTGAGATAGCTCTGCTTTTCTAGCTCTGGAGAGAAGGACATACTGGCAAGGCGGTGGAGGAAGGGCAGGAGGAGAAGAGAGATTAGGAGACAAAGTACCTTTCTTTATCTTACCCTTCTGGCTGCCTCCCTCCCCCCATCCATCAATTGATCAAGCTATCCACCTACTTAGGGAAACAGAGACTTAGAGTGACACCCACAGAGACAAGCACATAAGTCAACAGAGACAGACTGAGAGAATTAGACTATAACCAGAGAATTAGAGAAGCACATGATAACGAACATGCAAATGACACACAGACTGAACACGAAGAGTAGGAGTTAAAGAAAACTCCAGAGCCTCTGCTCAAATTCAGTCAGAGGCCTTAGGCCCATGTGTGGGGGCACAGGAAGGCTTACCTGAACCCTTTGTCCAGGGTGATGCACTTGGCCTTATGCTGACAGAGATTCATCTCCGGCACGCAGTGGTCAATCACCTCATCGCACAGCTCCCCTGGTGGGGTGGGTGGAGAATTGGGCCTCAGGCAGGGCATGGGGGAACCCAGCCAGAAGGTCTTGCTCATCCAGCCCTCAGCAGAAGGTCAAGGACAGCAGCAGCCCTGCAGTCACCCATTTGGCCTATCCCCTCTCCTGGTGCTCTGCCTCAGTTTCCCTAGCAGTGATAGGGGGAAGATTTCAGGATCTCCCTGGGCTCAAGCACCCTCTTTCAGCTATTTCATTTGGTCTGCAGGGCCCTGGCCTGGCACTATGGTTATGCGTCATTTCACTCCATGCACTGAGCATGTCCTGCATGGTGGGGACACAGATAACGCTCCTGTTCTTCCCCATGACCCCGTGAATGGGGGACTGTAAAGTAAGCAGGCAATCACCACAAAGATGTAAGTGTGACAACAGTGGAAGTCTGTGGGGGGGTTCCCAGGGGTACAGACAGGGCCCAGCAGCACAGTCTACCTGGCACAGACTGGTAAACCTCTTGGATTTCCTCAGAGGGGAAAACAGGAAAGGAATTTGGGGCTCTGGTCTATGGCAACCTTAGAAATCCCTATGCCACGAATGGGCCATAAATACTCAGGGCTGCCCTTGCATAGAAGCCCCCAAAGTTCACGCCAGGTGAAAATGTGGTGTAGGAGTGTGGGAGGTGGGCCAGGTAGGCAGTTCCCAAGCAAGCCTAGATTGGGGGTCAGTGGCAGGTATACCCTGAGCTTTGTCTTTCCTCAAATTCTGCTGGGTCAAGTCAATTGGAGAACGATGTAAAAAAAGGACAACTTCTACCAGATGTGGTACATATACACAACAGAGTATTACTCAGCAATCAATAAAGATATAAACTCACACCATTTACAGCAATGTGGATGGAGCTGGAAGGGATCATGCTCAGTGAAATAAGTCAGAAAGGAAAAGGCAAATTTCAGATGGATTCACTTGTAGGAAGAATGTAGAGGAACCAAAGAAGGGATCAGGAAAAAAAAAGTAATTATAATAAATTAAAAATCAAAATTAACAGGGAACTATAAATCAAGAGACAGTCTGCAGGGGAGGTGGAGGGAGAAGGGTCAAAAAGGGAGGGAAGAACACAAGGGACTGTGGTGATGGTGCACAGGTGAGCTGGTGGGGGAATTTCATGGGGATTACACCTGAGAGGAGAAAGCAAACATTGTACAAAAATGAAGAGTGATGTTAACTACATATCAAATTATAAACAATGGCAAAAGTAGGAAAAGCAGAAAATTAAAACTCCAAATGTAAAACTTGAAAAAAAAAAAAAAAAGGACCACTTGTACCAATGGAAGTTTCCTCCAGGCTGGGAAATGGGGGCAGGAGAAGGTTCCCAGGAGACAGGACAGAGGAAGATACTGAGTTGACTGGGGAGTGAGAGACAGACACAGTCCGGACTCTTCTGGGCCCTGGCCCTGGCGGGACAAGCTCCTCCTGCCCCAACCTGGGAGGAGCCTGACCTCACTTTCCCCTCAACCTTTAAAGCCACAGCCTCTTCCTTCTACCCTGGGGAGATCCAGACACGTGCATGAGCTTCTGAGTAAGACTTGTGATGCTTTCTGGGGACACACCGAACCATGACATTCTCAGGAATAAAGTACAAATCGGAAATGGACAAATCAGAAGTGGACCCCTAGGCAAGTAGACACCAGAGGCCATCTATAAGGGCAGCAAACTTGGGTGTCATGGCTCCTTAGCACCTTCCCTCAGCTCCCCACTGCTCATTTGCTCTCGGCAAATTCATTCAAGCCCCGTCTCTGTCCCAACCCTAATTTGAGCCCCTCTGCCTTGCCCTGATGAACTGCTGGGATTGTGACTGTCTCTCTTCTGAGACTGAGCAGGTCCTTCTGGGCCAGTGGTTTGGTTCTACATGGCGAGTCCTTTCATCTGAGGGAGTCCAGAAGCCCCAGTGGGTTAAGGGCACACCTTGGCCTTCTTGGTCTCTCTAGCAGCTATCTTAAATCTTTGCACATAAAAAGTGCAGAGCAAGTGTTCCTGCTGCCAACGGACGCTTGCCCAGAACTCTGTTCTCAAAAGGTGGGAGCTGTCTTAAGGGAAGCAGACCAAAGGCAGCTCTTTCTGTACAAAGCCTCCGAGGGACTGAGGAGGCCAGGCGGCTTTCCCACTGGCCTTAGCACACTCCAGCAGTCCCAAGACCTAGCTGAGGAGCTAGAGGCCTGTGTGAGGCACAGGGTCGTGTGGGGCCATGGGGGCTGCTGGCTCCCTTCTCTGCAGGACTTCTGTCCCTCCTGCACATCTCCCACCTCCCCCCGCCCACCTTGGCCCTGACACCCAAGTCTGGTCCCAAAGGCTTGCACCATCTGGTCATCCTGGCCTCTATTTCCCAAAATAGGTTTCTTTCAATACAAGGTTGCTGGGTTGCCAGGGAGTTGTGGGGTAAGGTAGGAGGGGCTTCTGAGATCCAACAAGTTTGGGGTCTGCTGGTTAAAACAAAGTTAAATGGTTTGCTTTTGAGCTGGAGTTTTCCGAACCTTTAAAATGCTCATTTTAATTAAAAAAAAAATCTCTGTAAGAAGAGGATTATATTTATATGCAGTGTTTCCCAAACTTTCTTGCCCACAGGGACTTTTCCTCAATCTATGGAATTTATGGAATTCCAGTTTGGGACCTGGCACTGCTCGGTTCCCATTTGGGAACTTTAGGGTGAGTCAATGACTGTGTTGGGAGCATTTGTACTGGGGTGAGGGCATTTTGCTTTATAACCTCACAGTACATTTAACTGTCCTCGTTAGGGCTGTTAATACTGGAAATAATGGTGCTGTGCTTTCTGGGGGGCAAGGGGTAGAGTGATATCCTCCAGTGCAGTGCCTCCTTCTGTTCTCGGATGGTTAGTTGCCTCCTCTGTGCCCCAGGCCCCCTGGGCTTCTGGTGTTCATTCTTCTACTGAACACACATCTCTGTCTCCTTCACAGCGAGCATCTCATTAAAAGAAACTATCTTGCTCACTTCTGCATCACCAACACCTAGCTGAGTGTCTGGAAAAGGGAGATTTCCAGAGGAGGCTGGCTAGATCTAAACAGGGCTTAACAGACATGCCACCTCTTGGCCAGCCTTGAATACCAGGGCGTGTCAGAGGAGGGGATGGCATCACCAGACAGTGGAAAGGAGCCTGGAGGCCTGTTTCAAAGTAGGGAGGATCGATGGTTTGCTGGAAAGAGGGTGGCAGGGTTGGCAAAGCAAAATGACAGCAGCTTTGAGTGGCCCCTCATGGCAGAGTATGGGGTTGGGGGCACAGGGCTATCCACAGGGGGTAGGAGGTGGGGGCCCCTGAAAGAAGCTAGGGAAGAGGTGTCCTCCCAGTGGCCGCCATGACAGCCACCTGGGACCTTACCTGTGTAGTTAGGTGGGCACACACACACGTAGTTGTTGATCCCGTCCACACAGGTGGCATTGTTCTCGCAGTCATTGTCCTCACAATCGTCAGGGTTGACCTCACATCGCTGCCCCTCAAAGCCCAGAGGACAGGAGCAGCTTTGGAGGTGTGCAGGAGGAGAGGAAGGCACCAGGGGTCAGGGAGCAGACCGGTGGGGAGTGGAAGAGAGGAAGGCAGGGGTGGAAAATAGTTAGTCAGGCCCGGGGCAGCACTCTGGACACAGGACTTGGGGTCCTGAGTGGGAAGCCCTTCAGGGTCTAAGACTCCTCCTTTGGGCAGTAGTGTTCCACCTCCATCCTCCATCCTGGATGGCTGCCTGGCAGGTGCGGGGGGCATCGCCAGCAATAGCACCTCCTTGACCGCTCCTGGGCTGGACGCAGTCTGCCGGATCTAGCTCAAGGCCCTCCGGCTTCCTTTTAAGCCTCCTTTGCATTCTGCTCCTCAGAGACACAGTCTCTTACAGACTGAGCGAGAAACAGCGTGACAGACAGCCTGTTCCAGGGGCTTCTCTCTTGAGCAGGAGCAGGCAGAGTGGCTAAGATCTGCTTCACTTTTGTGGGGATAAATTCTGGCCTGCCACTTCCTAGTTGTCTGACCTTGGAAAATGAACTGAATTCTGTGTGTCAGCTTCATCCACTACCGGCTGGAGTAACAACTGTACCCCAAGGGTGGCTTGGGGATTAACTGAGATTATTCAAGTAAAACAGATACAAGGGTACAGAGATCCAAGAAAATGCTCAGAACATGCTACATAGCTTTAGTTCTAGACAAAACCAGCCAAACCTTTCCCCTGGGATGCCATTTCTCCTCGTCCTGCAGTTCTAATTCCAAGCTCCCTCCAGCTTCTGGGGGATGAGGGGTGGACTGGGAGGGCCCTTCTCTTGCCAATACTGAAGTTTTGTGTGAACTTGGCTTAAAACACCATAGATGAGCATGATGCATTTCCTCCATTTCTCTCTGGAGTGTTAAATCTCCTGGATAAAAGCCTCAACTCTCCTGTCCTCTGCCCTATTTTGGCCATATCGCCAGGATGAGGGCTGCAAAATAAATCAGAACAGATACAGACCAGGCAGACAAGAAGGAGGATGGAGCATTCTGGAGGGTGCAGATAGGAGACCAGTGTCTGATTAAGTGAACCCCTAAGTGAGCACAGAGCTGAATGTTACTCTTTCTTAGGCCCAACCCACTAACCAGTAATTTATACCCCATCCACGAAAGCGTGTCCAGTGTCAGACCTAGAATTGTAGGTCTCTCTGGTACAGAGACTGCTGGGATTTGGGATTTAGCTAAAAATTGAAACAAAACTAACAGAAGTGGATTTCTGGGGCCCTAGACTCTTACCTAAACTCCTTCCTCTACAACTTAAAATTAGCATCACGTTTCCAACAAAGGTCAAGGGTTCTGGGGCCTGAGCTCTTGAGGAACAGCAACATGAATCTTGTTCCTTTTTTTTCTTCAGGACCTTGGGCTTACAGGAAAAAAGATTCTTCTTGAAAGAGCCAGACAGGACTGGGTTTTCTGAGATCAGAAAGCTCAACATTGCCCACTTTCCTGAAGTGGGTCACAATGGCTGTCCCCAGGGCCTGAGCATTGTGGGGAAGTGAGGCAGATGGGGCAGGTCAGGGGAGTGAGCTAGCTGGTGGAGTGGTCAGAGAGTGGGAAGGAAGCTAATGTCTCCTGTCTTCACTGGAAGCCCTGGGAGTGGGGTGGAGGTTGCCAAGGGCCACCCAGTCGCTCCATATCACCCAGTCAGCTGTGGGACCTAGGACAGATCACATCTCCCCTCTTGGTCTCCTGCCTGGCCAGATCTGATAGCCTGGCCCTTCTTGTAAATGGATACATGTCAAGATGGAGAAACATCAGTGAAGTGAGGTAGCTGATGCTTCCAGAAGAGGTGTTAGGGGTTGGATGGTGTTATGTCTCCATGAAAGAAATATTTCAGTCATAATTCCCAATAACACAGGTTATTGGGAGTTAGTTAATGTGAGATGGGATCACACTGGAGTAGGGTGGGCCCCAAATCCAATATGGCAGTTGTCCTTAGAAGACAGCCACGTGAAGAGACATGGGGTGAATGCCATGTCATGATAAAGACAGAGAGGGGGGCGAGGCAGCCATGAGCCAAGGATTGCTAGAGATTGCCAGCAAACCCCCAAAATCCAGGAAGTGGAGAGGAAGGGCCTTCCTCATGGGTTGAGGAAGCACAGCCCTGCTGACATCTTGACGCTGGACTGCTGACTTCCAGAACTGTGAGTCTACATTTCACCCAGTCTGGGACACTCTGCAGGACAGTTCTGGGAAACTAATCCAGGAGGGAAGAAGGGAACCAAGCTTTCCTGACAGCTGTTCCTCCCTTTAATTTCCCACCAGGCTCTGGCCTGAAGGGGGAGAGGCTTCCTGCTAGCTACGAGCTGAGCCAGACACAGTACTTGGGCCTCTTTGCCCTACCCATCCATATTTTCCTTGGAGATCTGGGCCCTAGCCCTTGAAAATTAAATCCTAGAAAATTTCCAGTTTATTTGATGTCTTCAGTGAGCCTGGGCCGAAACCAGCCTGGCCCTTCTAATCACCAGTGCCTCCAACCCAGAGGGTCGAAGCACCTGCCCGCAGGGGGCGCTCCTCCCTTTGCTGACCCCAAAGCCGGGCAGGGTGGGCAAAGCCAGATTTTGCCCTGGCAGTGTGTTTCCTGTGTGGGGCCGTGGCCACCTCAGTGAGATTTCCCTGTGGTTTCTCCTCACCCCTGCTTTCATCAAGAAAGCAGGAGTGGGTGGTTTGGCTGGCCCCGGGCAGGAAAACAAACTCTGCCTTGAATTTCACTTTCCAAGAGTCAGAGTTTGATGGGGCTGGCTTGGCAGGTGGTCACAGGGGCGGCTGGTTCCCCGGGGAGGAGAACCGAGAGCCCAGGCCTGATTTCTTTCACAGACCACACAGCAGCCTCCGGCCAGAGTGCCTTTCATAACTAATTGTTTGCAACCTGAGCTCTTAGCCTTCTACATGGAGCTTGGCTTTGGGTACCCCTACTTTATGGCTGAGGGCTGCCACCTACTCAGCTGGCTCACAGGGTACCAGCAGAGCTCGTTCCCACCAGCCTGATTTTGCCAGGGTCATGGGCTGGGGAATTAGGCCCCTGAAAGCAGATGGGGAGGGTGGGAAAACAGGAGGGGCCCTGAGGCTTGGCAGAGGCCCAGAAGGCCCCATCTCAGGAAAGGGCTGAGAAAACGGAAGTGGCTTCTAGCTTCTTTTCCTCCTAGCCCAGGGAGGAAGGAGGCAGGTTGGAAGACCCAGAACAAGAGTCAAGACGAGACCTAGAGCAAATCAATCTCTGGGCCTCTGCTTCTTTGTCTGCTAAATGAGGAAGTCCCTACCCCACCAGCTAGAGTCACTGTGAAGATTTAGATGAGACCACATTTGATCATGAGACCCATAATAGTCATGTGATCAATGTCACCTATTATTGTTTTTGATCACACAGATAAGAGTGGTGGACTTGTTAGGCTTGTGGGTCTTTGGTCAGCATCCTATCCTTCTCTGCCTTAGCCAACAACTGTGGTGAGCCTCATAGTTCTCCTGGTCCTGGAACAGACTATTGGAGGTCAAATCCCTGCACCTATGCTCACTGTCCATGCAACTGTGGGCAAAGGACACAGTACCTCAATTTTCCTATCTGTCCAATAAAGAAAATAGCAGCTTCCTTATAAGGTGTGAAGAGCCTTGAAATCATTTACATAAAGGACATTACTGTGTGGGCACACAGTAGGTCCTCAGTGAGCACAGTTACGCTTCTTCCCCAGGTGCCTGCCCATGAAACCCTCAGGGGAGGGAAGACCCAGGCTGGGTCATTACCTGAAGCCATCCTTGTGGGCCTCGCTCAAGTGGCAGGTGCCTCCGTGCTGACAGGGGTTCTGGATGCAGGTGTTGATGGGCACGGTGCAGTCTTTGCCCTGCAGGACAGAAGAGACAGAAGTCCCTGGTTAGGGAACTTTCAAAGGCAGCCATGACCCAGGAGACCTCTGTGAGTTCCCAGCATTGTTTGTGATGAGGTGGGGTACAAGGATGCTCTGGGTCCTGCCTGTTGTGTGACTCAAGAGACAGAAGGAGCCCTGACTTCTGGTCATCCCACATGAGAATGGATCCCAGCTTCACCACTTCAGGACTCACACCCTTCACTGAATCCTAAACTTCAGAGCAAGAACATGGGCTTTGGAGACAGGAAAAACTGATTTTATGCCCCCACTTCCTCTTTTCCTGTTTGTCTGACCTTTATCTTGTATCATCAGCCTTTTAACATCTCCAAGCCGACCATAAAGTTCTTATGAGCATTAAAGTAGACCTTTCATACAAGGACGTGCTTAACATGACGGCACACAGCTAGCACATAGTAGGTATTCTATGAGTGCTAGTAAATAATATTATGATTAGCATTACTGAAGCTTAAATAGAATATGGGACTTGAGTAGGGTATATTAAGGGTGAAGGGGGTCAACAGACTTTGCACCTACAAAGTGAAAAATCCCACATCTACATCTTTGATGGAATCGGGTTGGGGCCAGGTGTTGGTATTTATCCTAGAGTTCTGCAGGTGATTCTAAAGTTAGGGAAGACTGAGAATCCTGTGACAGAATTATAGGTAATGTCCCTCTAAATGGGATATTTGAGCAGAAGAGACAAACATGTGGTAGGTGACTGAAGGAGCAGTAAGGACAGAGGCCAGAAGGAGGAGATCAAGGAAGAGCCTGTGAATGTTAAAACCCAGTGTTCCTGGGGACAGCTCACTGGTTGGTCCTCTGGTTCTGGCTTCTCCCGACTGATGGACTAGTGTTGCACCTAAGTTTGGCAAGTACAGCAGGTTGTCCAACAATGTGGTTTTGTTCATCATCACTTCTTTATAATAACATGGATGAGAAAAAATATTGATGTCCTCCAGGGCCACTGTGTAGTGTTTGCAATGCCGTGCGTTGTCTGCTTCCTACTGTGTCCATCTCTACTGGGTTTTCCACACATAACTACGATTTCCTCCTACATCCCAGAGGTGTACACATGAGGGCAACGAGACTGGCTCAACTGAGCCTGCTGGCAGGAGTGAGTATGTGTGTGATGGGCTCAGCGATGGAAGAGTCTCTTCAAGGTTGGAATCCTTTCTTGAGCTCTGAACTGCTGGGACAGGCTCTAGTTATTTATGATCCTGAACTGGAATAAGCATTTTGGAAAAGGAATGAATGAATGAATAAATACAAATGATTATTTAATTGATCTCTGAACAACACCAGAGAGGGAGGAGGCTTCAAATAACTAAAGGAACCCTGAGATAAAAGAAGGAAAATGGAGATATTATGTTACCTGATCTTAAAGCATACTATAAAGAAATTGTAATCAAAACAGTATTGTAATGGAACAAAACCAGAAACAAACCAATGGAATGGAACTGAGAACCCAGAAATAAACCCACACATATATACACAGTTAATTTATGACAAATGAGCCACAACCAAATGATGGAGAAGAAAAGTCTTTTCCACAAATAGTGTTGTGAAACTTGGAAAGCTGCATGGAG